TATAATTTTTCAAAGAATCGTGTCAGAAAAATTTAGTACTTTTAGATTCGTGTCTTTTACTTGCAAATGAAAATTAAAATTATTATAAAGCATTATAAAACAATGTCTGAACTGGTATCTAGTAATTAAGTCTCAGATGTCCTTCTTAGAGATCTAGCATAAGAATAGTTCATGGTTTTTATACACTTTTATATTTAAAATCACTTTAATAACCATCAACTTTAATCATCGCATATAGTGAGTACTTCAGGTAGTAATTTAAACAATTAATTAATTTTATAAGGCATCTTTGCCCTAAGAGCTCAAGGCAAAACACATTTTCATAACTTGTAAAATGAGTTTCCAGGAGGAAAGAAAAACAAATAAATCTGTGGGAAAAGGGAGGAAGAAAACAAAGAGGAATAAAAAATAAAATTAGGAAGAGTTGCTTTGGAAAACAGATATTAACAAATGTAACATTACTAAAATTGAGTAATGTTATGGCTACATTTTTCATTAATTAAATGAAAAGGATGCAAAATTTGAATGAGAATGATTATGAGAAACAACGTAGAAGTGACAAATATGATTGAGAACTTTGTTAGTTTAGTCTTTATTTGCCTCTGTAATCTTGATTTGTTGAGCAGGTGTTTTCAGGGGTTGTTTAAATTTTGTTCCTGGTGAATTCTTGGGTGAGTCATATGGGGGAGTTTTAATAAGGTCATCCATAAAAATGACATTGTGAATAGGGACACTGTTTTAGCCTGGTGTTGCTGATGTCACATCGTTTATCTGCTGAGGCAGGGACTGGTCAGTGTTGAAGTGGGTGGCTACGCTGATGGTCAGATTCACAAGTCAGAGCCCTCACTGTGACTGATCTAGTAACAATGATTTTATCTGAAGATGAGCTCCTCATAGAAGTACATGATCAGTCAAATCTGGGGAAGTGAGCAGGTTGTGGCATCAGCTGGGGGCATCTGCTGTGAGCACTCCTGAGAAGGTTGCACCTGTCAGGCATGCACCCATCCTGTAGGCACCCAGGGCACAGGGAAATGACTGTCGTAGGGTAACTTGACTGCTGAGGGGGTGCGGGCTCCTTGGGGGATGAAGGAGACTTTAGCATAAGATTCTGATTATCCCTCTGGCTGTATCTCTTTCTAGTCAGTCACTTTTCAGTAAACCACAGGACTCCTGATACCTGTTCACACTGTGCAAGGACTTTCATGCCACCTTGTGAACTGGGACTGGAGTCAAGCTGACGATGTGCGTAAAGAGATGTTCCCAGCTGGGCTGAAGTCTCTTAGCTTCTTTTCTCGGAAATATGACTTTTAAAGTACTGAGGGAAAAATATAAAACAACAATAAAATTCAAATCTAAAATATTACCGCAAATTCTAAAACGTGTGATATGGAGAAAAACTGCCATCATGATTCAGTACTTAGGCAGAGTGGAGGCGTTTTGAGGGAGGAATACATAAACCAATTCTCTCTACGGTATTAAGGGGACTAGCCTCACTGGCCCTTAGGATGCATTTTGGAAAAAAATAGAAGACAATGAAAAGTAAATGGAAGATAGATTTTGGTGGACTTTGAATGCCAGGTGCAAAGTTTGGACTGGATCCATACATAGCTGGGGTCACAGTCTGTCTATCTATCTATCCATCTATCTATCTGCCTGTCTGTCTATCTTTCTGGTGTAGTATCACCCCCAACTTTTTATTGTTGTTGTTATTTGTAATCACAACTTCTTTATAAGGAGGCCAAATCCAAGGTTTTGTGTCTGCTGAACACCTGGTTGCTCTGGGCCTGCAAGTTTGGACCTTGTTTTGGGAGGACTTAGCTTGTTGCAGATAATAGTGGGGGGACCTGGAGATGGGTGAGGAAGGAGGTAGGGACCCCAGGAGGAGGAATCAGAGAGAAAGCAGAAAGCCCAGCGCTGCGTGGGTGAAGGGCTCTGAGATGCGGCCTATAGGGGAGTGGGTAAAAAACTACCAAAGCTCAGGTAGGCGTCCCTGGTTCGTAATACTCTGCATATTGTCACACATGGATGTGTAGGGAATGAAATGTGTTCTGAGGGCTGGGAAGTTTTGCATTGGGGACCCTCCCAAATCTTGCCCTCTGGTCTTGATCGTATCCTTTATAATAAAACTTAATCATAAGTATAGTGCTTTTCCGAGTTCGGCAAGTCTTTCTAGCAAATTTTTGAGCCTGAAGTGGTAGTGGGAACTCCTGAAGTTGCAGACAGCTGGGCATAGGGGAGAGTGACCTTGAGGTCCCTGAGCTTGGAGCTGGTGCCTGAAGTGAGCACAGTCTTGAGAAGGACTGTGCCCTTAATCTATGGAGTTTGGCCTAACTCTGGTGGTTGGTTCTAGAAGTCTTTGCAGAGGGTGAGCTAATAATAGAACAATAGTTAAAAAATAAATGTGAAAAGATGAGAAGCAGTGGCTGAAACAAATAAGGTGCAATTCAACAGGATCTTCAGTACTGGGTTTAGGTTCAAAACAAGCATGATTGTCAGGGTCATGGCAGGGAAGAGACAGCTCGCCCAAACATTGCTAAGTAGAAGAGAGACGAAGGCAGGCTCTATCGGTATCTGCAGGGCAGGGTAAGGGAACCACCGACAGATGCTAGCACCCAACAACTAGCCTTGGCAAGAGGGCATTATCACCCCTAGGCTGAAAGAGAAGAGAGGAGGCTATGATGGTGGGGCCAGGGATGAGGGGCTGGTGGAGTGGTGGCTGTGGGCAGAGGGACAGGGCCATGGTCAGGTGGAAAGGAAGCAGGATACAAGGGGCAACCACACAGAGCCTGACCTCTTACCTCTGACTTCCATTGTCCAGGCAGTGCCAGACAGGCTGAACCCAACCGGAAGCCAGTGGCCAGGGAGCCCAAGGTGTCAGCCTCTGGGGACAGAGAGGAGTGAGGGGCCAGCGTGGAATGACCGGCACTCACTGGCTGGGGGAAAATGTGCTGTAGTCATATATGGGTTTGCTTATTCATTCAGTGCTTCTTTATTAAGTGCCTATAACGTGCCTTGCACTGCTCCAGATGCTTGGGATGAACGGTGAACAAGTACTAAAAATCCTAGCCCACATGTTGCTCCCTGTCTAGTACAGGGAGACACAGAAAAAAAAGTAAATGATCTAATCTGCCGGAAGGTGATAAACACTGTCTTTCCAGTCCAATTAGAGCAAAGTCAGGGGGATCTGGTGTGAGGAGGAGAGTGGGACTGAAATCTTGAATAAGGTGGTCAGGGTAGCCTTGCTGGGAAGAGGAGACTTGAGCCAAGACTTGGAGGATGTAAGGAGTTAGCCCTGCAGACACCCAGGGGAAGAACACGCGGGTGGAGAGACAGGCCAGTGCCAGTTCCCCTGAGATGGGAGACCTTCTGGCACAAAGCCAGTGAGGCTAAAGAGGAGCAAACCAGGAAAAGAGCCACATGAGGTGGGGCCAGAGGGTGGGCGCTAGTGGTGCTAGCTTTGGGGGCCTCGCCGGCCTCTGCAGAGACTCTTCCTCAGAGAAGTGAGGACCATTAGAGGGTTTGAGCAGAGGAGTCACGTGAACTGACTTGCATCTTAAGCGATGGGGTGGTTGAGGTGCAGAGATGGGCCTGTAAGGGCTAGGGAGGAAGCGAGGAGCCTGGTGGGGAGACCACCCAGACGTGATAGAGGCAGCGGCCCATGCACAGCTGTGCAAGCGGAGAGACTGGTCAGAATTTGGATGGTTTCAGGATAGAGCCAACATGATTTTCTGACAGGCTGGATGTGATTTGTGAGAGCGAGTGAGTGATATTCCAGTGAGATCTCCGGGTTCTGGGCCTGAGCAGCTGGAAGGACGGAGTGGCCGTGGACTGAAACTGGAAAGGCTACGAGTGGGGCAGAGTATGGGGCAGGGGCAGATCCGGAGGTCAGACTTGGAGCTCTTGCATTTGAAATGTTTATTAGACATCCAGTGGGCAGTTTGGTGTATGAGTCTGGACTTCATGGAGAGGTTTGGGTTGAGATAATAATTTGGGGCACATAGGTCAAATTTAAGACCGTGACACTGGATGAAATTACCAAGGGAGTGAATAAAAACAGAAGAGAGAAAAGGACTGAAGGCTGAGCCCGGATGTGTGCCGACTGAAGGGGGTTAGCAGGAAGAGGAGCAGGAGGAGACTGGGCAGAAGGGCCAGCGAGGTGGACGGAGAACAAGACGTGGTGGTGCCCTGAGAGCCTTGGGTCACTTGCATCAAATATTGCCTTTAAGTGAAGTAACAAGAGAAATGAAAATGAGCCATTGCATTTAGTAGCGAGGAGGTCATTGGTCCTGATGACAGCAGCTTTAGGTGAGTGATGGCCAGACAGCCAACTGGGAGTGGGTATAAGAGAAAATGTCGAAGAAAATCTTCACAGCACATGTATCCAGCAAAGGACTAGATACAGAACTCTGATGACTTTACATAAGAGGGCAAGCAGTCCAGTAACAAAAGGGACCCAAGACTTGAACAGACATTTCATGAAAGAAGATTTACTAATGGCCAATAAGCACGTGAAAAGTTGCTCAACATCGCTAGTCATCAGGGAAATGAAAGTGAAAACCAAAATAAGATACCACTATCCACGCACTTGAATGGTCATCATTTAAAAGGCTGACAGTATCAAGTGTTGATGTATATGGGGAGCAACAGGAATTCTCTTGCTTTGCTGGAGGGAACATAAAATAAAAAAATAGTTTTTTATGAAGTTAAAGATACACCTACCATACAACCCATCAATTCCTTTCCTAGATATTTACTCAAAAGAAGTAAAAAATATGTCCACATTATACTGATGTATGCAAATGTTCATAACAGGTTTATTTATAGTATCCCCAAATTGGAAATGACCCATATACCTGTCAAAAGATAAATGAACAAACAGATGGTGGTATTTTCATAAATGTGATAATTACCCAGCAATTAAAAAGCAACTGCAGATACAACAAGGGTGAATCTCAGATTCATTATGCAGAGTCAGAGAAGCCAGAGAGAAGATTACATACTCCATGTTTCTACTTGTATGAAGTCATAGAACATGTAAAAGTCATCTGTGGTTTTACAGAAACAGAAATTTGATCAGTGGTGGCTTGGGGGCAATTGTTGGTGGGAATTGATGGGAAAGGGGCCCAAGGAACCTTCTGGGGCATTGGAAAATATTCTGTATTGCGACTGTGGTGGTGGCTGCATGGTGTGTATGTCTGTCAAGACTCATCAATCTGTACACCTAAAGTGTGTATATTTCATTGCATGCAATTTACACTTCACTAAAGTTGATTGAAAAGAGAATGCGAGAAGCTCGCCCAAAACGGCAAGTATAGATAACTGTTTCCAGGAGTTTTATTGCAAAGAAAAACAGAGAAATGGGGAAAGTGTGGGGAAAAAAAGAAAAGAAAGAAAAAGAAAAAGAAAGCTTTGTTTTAAGGTGAGAGAAATATCTGCATATTTGCTGAGGGGAATGGTCAAGTAGAGAATGAAGACAGAGAACCGATATGAGGATGTCCTTGAGTGGGCAAGATGGGTTTAGCTAAAATCCAAGGGGCTGGTTTGAAGTGGGATTCTCAAGCAAACTTCATTTTCCTTTGTGTTCTTTCCAGAACTTTCTACAATAAATATATTTAATTTTATAATTAGAAAACATAACAAATGGTATTTAAAAAAGAAGAATAGCATGTTCCCCACACCTGGTGATGTAAGCAGGGGCTGGTCAGGGGCTGGACTTGTGGCCAATAAGGACCATTCTGATTTTAAAATTATTTTGAGTACATATGATAACTAAAGTTTGCAATTTACATTGTAGTTTTTAAGTAAGAACTCGAAGAGGTATGTGACAACCATCTTTGTTCTTGTATCCAGGGAAGAAGGTAGAAAAAGATATGATCATATTCAGATATGGGAAAACTGAGGCACAAAGAGGTTTGTGTCTCATCTGATTCCACGAATCAGTAGTAAATATTTAATTTAATACACGAGAGTATTAAATTAATACTAAGTGTGGTTCCCGGCTCCCTGTGAGTCTAGAACTCCCCTTTGCTGTAGCCTAATCTTGTGTTTGCTATTTTTGAAGACATGAAACTGCTTTCTGTCATTGTCATTCCCCTAACTTAGGGACCTAATGGTTTTCCTAAGTAAATGGCACTCATTGATCGATACATCTTTGCCAGATGACGTTATAAAATACCAAGAGAAAATTTAAATGCAGTATGTCTAATCAGGCTAAAGTTAAGGGTGTTACAGTTCTAAACCTGTTTAATGAAACAGCATATTCTAGAAGCCTAGGTTTATAGGTTTACTCAAATTTGGACCAATTTGGTCCACTCAAATTGTGATTGTGGAATGATTCTCATACACGGGGTGTTTAAATAAAGCAACCCCGGGTGCTTTTGCTTTATTGATCTTCTTAATGCACTGGCTTCAGTATTTAAATAAGTTTGAGTTTGTTTCTTTAATGGTCTTTCAATAAAGCTTAAGTTGACCCAGTTCCTTTTGCAATCATGCACCGTAATGACAGAAACAGACTTATAATAAAAATGAACTCATTTTATGTGGTTGAAAAGATTATATTTCTATTGATTTTAACTGTAGCATAGTTAAAGTCCTTGACACTAAAAAAAAAAAAAAATCAGAAAACATATCCTTTTTAGTATAGTGGCTCTATTGATATCACTTTGCCAGTAGGTTTTGGCAGCAATAACAATATTCAGCAGAGAATCTAAAAATTGGCATTATCAGAGGATTGATAATCATGTCTTTCAAATTCTGTTCCAGGTGAAAGAGCAGAAAGGTGTATCAGGAAAATCGTTGTATATAGAGGAACTTCCTAATGTGGGATGAATGCCATGGGTCTGAAAGCTTGATTTGATGACCAGTTCATTTCTGCTGGCTTATAGAAAGCGGCAGAGCTCAGTTCCCTGGTAACACTAAAGCTTTTTCGTGCTATGTTTGGAGCCCATTCCAAGAAGTAGAATGTGTGGAGAGGTGGGAGCATGGAGTAGAGGTGGTGAGAATGGGAAATAGAAAAGACCAGGAGAAGTGATGAAAGAGAGGGGAGGAGCATTCACTTCTCTCGTGACCCAGCCCTGCATGAATGTGCACTGTGTGCATTGAGAGAGAGAGAGAGAGAAAGAGAGAGAGAGAGAGAGAGAGAGAGAGAGAGAGAGAGAGAGAGAACGTGCGCGTGCGCGTGTGTTGCGGGGGGGTTACAGCCATAACAAAATGGGCTGAGATTGATTCTTAGCCTGGAAGACTAATAGCTTTGGCTTTGAACTTGGATCATGTGTTCAGATCTGCTCCAGGAAAGGCTTGGGTGAGTCTGTAGATCTTGAACCTCATGGTGACCCGAGACCCACTCTGTACCTTGCCCTAATCCTAGCTCTCCTCTAATTAATCTTCTAAAGAAGGTCAAGTTCCTGACATTCTGCTTGGGTTCCCTTGGAAATCTTGAGAATAAATAAGAAGCTGCTGAAAGGATTTGTGAGGAGAAAAAGTGCAGAGAATTTTCCAGGAGTAGAAAAAGATTTGGTCCACTTCGTCCTCTTCCTCAACATTATCAGCATCTAACATTTCTTGAAGGTCAACTCCAGGTCAGATCCCACCTTAGGTACTTTACACATGGTATTTCAATTAATCTGCACACAACTCTGCGGGCACGTACTCTTATTTGCCCCATTTTTACAGTTGAGGAAACTGAGGCACAGAGATCAAGTTATAGGGTCTAAGAGGACACATGCCTGGTGGGTAGATAGCACAGAGGTCTGTGGGCTTTCAGAGGCCAAGCTCCTCCACTGTACCAGCCTGGACCCTGTGCCATCGTAGAGCTGGACTGGCATGATACCCACAGCAAATGCACGGGAAAGTCCTGGGAATGAGAGGAGAGCAGGGCACCCCAACATTGTCTCTGGCTTACATCCTCCCCTCCTCCACTTTTGTTGCATTTCCATTTATGCATCTTCTGATCGGTAGGATGCAGGTCCCCCTTTGCATCCATCTCCGGTAGCAGGACAGGTTTTCAGAGATGGTCTGGATGTTGGAGGCTGCAGAAACCCGTGAGCTTCTTCACTGCTCCCACCACTGTGCATTGTGGTGTCTGGCTGTTGGGGTTACACACACAAGCACAAGCAGAAGCTGTGGGGTGGACAGTTTCAGATCCCAGCACCATTTTCATGGGGGGCCAGGAATCAGGCGGGTGGAGTGGGCTGATTTCTACTGTTTGCTCTCACAGTTTGACTTCTGCTGGGCCCCGGGTGACATCAGGAGGGGTGCGGGAGTAGATTGGCAGCCACTGATTCAGCAGGCGGGTGGAGTGGGCTGATTTCTACTGTTTGCTCTCACAGTTTGACTTCTGCTGGGCCCTGGGTGACATCAGGAGGGGTGCGGGAGTAGATTGGCAGCCACTGATTCAGTTGTTTTATTCATTCTTCTACTTTCTCTTCCTTTTTGGTGTCCTTTCTTCATCTTTCCTTTTGAACTACCAGCCCATGCCCTCTCTTCTACCCACAAAGAGGTTTTTTTATTACCACTCCCTCCAACATTGTGATTATAATCTCATCTCAAAGACGTTAGAGTAGAGGTCATTCTTTTGGTTTGCTAAGTGATGAGGGGGAAGAATCTAAATCAAATATGCTCGGAAAGCAGAAGGAATCTGCTCACTCTCCAGTGGGTTGAGCTCATGGTGTGTGCCCAGAACCCATTACTTATAAGCTGGCCCCATTTATTTATTCAGTCACTTAGCAAACACTTCTTGAGGCTCTCCCAGGTGCCAGGGCTCAGGACAGAGCAGTGAGATGTACAAGTGTGAGAAGAATCCCTGGGCTGCAGCCTTTGAACTTGACAGCACGCTTCCATTTATAGAAGCAATACCAAGTCCCACTGTCGTCATGGTATTTCACATTAGATGCACATAACCTGGGCAATAGCCAGAATGCTGGATTCGATGAGCATTTGTAGAAAACCACACCTGAGCTGGTTTCACAAGGACGTTTGCTCCTGCCCGTTCTCACTGGTGGTCGCTGATGACCACTAGAGGGCATCTTAACACTAGCTCAGGACCCGCTCCAGGACACTGTCCATCAAAATCCTCAGACTCCATCCCAGTGCTGACTTCTGGCTGCCCTGAGCAGAAGGGCAGCATGCAGCCCTTCAGAACCTCAGACCGCCTGTCGAGGTGCATTAACTTTTCAGAAGGAAGAAAAATTTCTGTGAGAGAGGAACCTGCTTTCAGTTACCTGTGCGTAAGAAACAACTTGCTCAGCCTATTGTACTGAAAAATAGCTTTGAGAGTTACCGTCTTTGAGAGTGATCTTAGCGCACTGCAGAAGGATATAACAATAGAACGCCTCACAGATTGAACTTTGGTTTTCATGCCAGACAAAATAGAAATCCAGGAACCTTATCTTCTTTCTTGAGAGATGATTTCTGTACTTAATGTGCGTGGGGAAAAATAATGAACTCCCTAAGCTTGGGCTTATAAGCTTTGGTTTATTCTGGAGAAGGAGAGAGAGAGCTGACATCTCACACCCTAAACTGGAGCAGAAATTGCATTGCAACTGCTTTCCAACGGAGCCAAAAGAAATGTAAAGCGAAGTAAACACATTTTTCTGGAGCGTAGAAATGGAGGTCCTGTCTAGCCCTGGAGTGCATAATTCATTTGCAGATGAAATTGCTTTAGAAAAGAAATGAAAAACTTGGGAGTGTTGACATATTCATTATGAATCTTTTTCTGTTTCATATCAGATGGGTTAGAACTTTTAAAAAAATGTTTTTCTGTATAATTTTTTATGAATTAAAGAAGGGCAGATATTGAATTCCTGCAGCAAAAAATAAGTAAGATAATGGGGTCCTCTTGGCCCCCATGAAAACCTTTAAGGAACAGCTCGACTGTTTTTGTGAGTCTTCTCTGACCTATTCCTCCCTCCCTGAGATGATTCATTCCCCGCCTTTCTGTGCTTCCATAAGCACATACTTATACTTCGACCAGCACTTAGTTTGTATCTGTTGGCTGATGCTCTCTTTTGCTGGGCTGGGCTCATAAAGGCAACGGCCACCCTGCACGCTGTGACTATATTAGGTGCTGAAGACACACTTCGTGGGTTGAACTGCAAACCCACAGAAAGGAACCTTAGTCCCAAAGACCCTGTTGATAATGACCCTGACAGCTGATCTCTTATTTTTTGCTTTTAAGAAATATGAGGAAATTGGGGAGGAAAAAAGGGCACTGTCATTTCATTGGGTCATAGACTATGCTAGATGTTTTTATTCTGTGTATTTTTGTTTAATACACACAAACCCCATTAAAATAGGTGGGCTTATTTCTATTTTACAGATAAGAAAACAGAGATTCAGTAACTTGCTAGAGAACACAGAGCTATTAAGTGAAGGAGCCTGTCTGTAAGGATGCCTTTTTCTATGCGTTAGAAACACCCTCTGAATTCAGCAATCACAATCCATGGGGTCGCTGCTTAGACTGAGATCAACCTCAAAAGGAAATCTCATTTTTTGTGCTATGGTCTCATTACCAGCTCCAACTCCTAATGCTGTCTTCTTCTATACCCCTTTCTATCACCTACATGTTGATAGGGAGACCAACTTGTTAAAGTCTCTTCTAGAGGACAATTAGGTGGAACAGGTTTCCACTGTCTAAAAAAATGTATATCAAGGGTGTATACAACTTTTCTCCCCTCCCAGAATATGAAAGTCACCCCTGACCCCACCAAATCATTGTCTATCTGAATTTCTTCCATAAAGTAGATACTCAGCGCATATTTATTCCACCCAAATTTATTTTGAATGAAGTTGAATTAATTTTAATTGCATTCCACACTGGTAAGTGGCCTTGTTGGTATGGAAAGGTATTGGCCACCACCTGATTTATCCAAGTCCCACCCCGGGGTGGGCTGGGTGGTGGAAGGGGTAAGAGACAATGCCAATTAGATGTCATCATGTTAAATTTCTAGTGATCTTCATATGGTTGTAAGCAGAAGGAAAATGCATTGTTATCAGAACAGTCTTGAACCATCTTGAGAACTTTTTGCTACCCCGAGGAACCATGTCTTTGCATACAGACTGCCCAGACCGTGGAGGTGGTCTGAGTTTAAAGCTATAAGCTGGGTTGAAAGTACTAGCAGGGAGAAGAATCTGAGGCTCTGATAGTTGATGATATTTCCCCCTTCTGGGAGACATTTCACCAAATAATCCTACTTTCTGTTCAGAACCAAACAGTAACACCTGCTAAAACACTTTTCCAAAGGCCAAGGACCCATAGCCCAACCTAAAACCAGATGAGACATTACAAAAGCTCCCCAGGTCATGAGGTTTTTGATGTGTGTCTTAATGATAAACAGATTTCTCTGGACACAAAGAAATATGGGAGGGGAAAAAAAAAAAAGAACAACCAACCCTGACTAATATACAGAGCAAGTTAACAGGCAAGATTCCAATATATGTAGCCCTCTCTTCTCTTCTCAGGTACCTTCTATGGAATCAAACTGTAGTAATGATATAAGAAACTAATACATGCTGACCTATGCTCTCCATGGAATTAAACACGTCAGTCTTCCATTAAAGTGGAAAGTTTAGTAATATACTTGCTAAGAATCCCGGTAGAGAGCCAGTGAATGGGTAAAAGAGCTTCTGGAAGGCAGGAAGCTGGAGAGTTCAAAAGGCTGATCATTATTCTGTGGCTGCCTTCCTCTGTCAAGCAGGCTTGTAGTGAGCAAACAAGGCTGGGAGTTTATCATCCCGAGGAGATAAAAAACTAAATTAGCCAAAGGGAAGAAGTTACAGTAGATGTAATTTCAAGAGCAGGGCCCTGGGCTAGCTAGGTCAACTTTGTTTATTTGTTCTGACATCCCTAAAAAGATTTAATGCTTCCAACCAGTGTTATTTTCTTTAATAAAGGCTTGACAACCTCCAGGGAAGAAGTTACAGTAGATGTAATTTCAAGAGCAGGGCCCTGGGCTAGCTAGGTCAACTTTCTTTATTTGTTCTGACATCCCTAAAAAGATTTAATGCTTCCAACCAGTGTTATTTTCTTTAATAAAGGCTTGACAACCTCCAATATTAAAATTTTCAGGAGCGTTTACATCTACATGCTTTTTAGTATTGTTCTTTACTGGCAGAAAGTTCAAGGGAAATAAAAGCAGACATTGTTAAATAATTCATTTGAGCTTCAGTATCTAACTTCAGTCTGGGCTCCACGTTACTACAGAAAAGAAGGATGCTAATGTGGAAAGACAGGAGGGTACGTTCATGGTTCCTTAAAGACTTGAGATGGAACTTTTATTGGTGTATGATATTGTGTGCTGCAAAAACACTGGCCTTTGAGTTTGACCTTTTAGTTCTCTTTGATTGTAAAAGGATTTTATGACCCCCAGGAAATGCTACTAGGTAATTTCTTTTAATGACTCCAAAGATAACACTAACTCCCCAAAGACTTGCTTTTGTGCAAACCTGTTAAAATTCTTCAGAAGTTTTCTAACTAGCGGGAGTGAACGGGGTTCACTTGCCTGCTTGCAGAGGCCACTGGGGGGTGATGACTGGTCACTGGAAAAGGAGTCTGGTTTTCTGGGTTCTAGACAAGATCCTATCTCTTGAGAACACTGGGACTTTTGTCACCAGAACTTCTTAATCTCTGCTTTCTCATCTGTGTCATGGGGCCAATAGCACCAGCCTTTCCCAACTTATAAGGTGCAAGTGTTTTGAGCAGTACGTGACATGACGACTATGAAGACCCTCCCAAGTTTAAAGAGATTTTCTCTGGGTTTGAGGAGGTTACTTGAAACCCCTGACAATGAACACTCTCCCACTTACAGAAAGTGGTGAACTGCTTCCCCCGCCAGTCAATGTCGCACGCCAGTTAACATATATTGCTGCCTTATAGGTCCATAATTGAATTACTTTTCACTTTACTGCTAATGCATGTAAAATTCCCCCAGTAATTTCTGACAAAACTCTGCTGTGCCCTAAACTTCTGGTTTTATAGCCTTCCATATCCAAAGAGGACTAACTATGGACCATATGATGTTACCTATTTCAGAGTTAGTGTTTCTCCAGGTAGTACATTTTACTGAGTCTTCTCCAGTGGAGATCTTTTCTATTCATGGGATAGAAAGAGGGTAAAGCCTAAGAAGTATTTGTTCTCCTAATATCTTTGTTTAACTTTACGTTCTCTTTCGAAGCACACACACTCCCTCCCTTTCCCCCTCTTCCATAATAAATATTCCTCTGTGTCCTCCCTTGACCCCCACCTGTCAGCATCGTCCCCTTCCTTCAAGACCTTGTAGTTATGGCATTGAACTACTGTATCTTCTACTCTATCATTTTTGGATATTAGTACAAACAACTTTTTATCAGCCTGTTTATATATTGAGCACGATTTCCTCCATCAGATTCTGCCCGACTCCAGGGACTGTATCACCATGTGGAGGAAACGTCTCTCCAACTAGGAACACTTGTGTTGTACGCTTACGTGGGTGAGAAAGCAAGCTACTTGTATTAAGCTCTTAATTTTTTTTTTGTTATAGCAGCTAATATAACTTCAACTAACGTATAAATTGGTACTTGGAAGCAGGGTGCTGCCATAACAAAAACCTAAACTACGTAGCCTTGGCTTTGTGGTCAGGTGGAAAGTGGATATAAATAATGGAAGCTGGAAAGATAAAGGACAATAGTATGCAATAAAACATTTTGTAACACTGTCACCCATGTAACCTGGAAGGCAGACTAAGTGCCGATGACCTGTGGCTTTAGGAAGGCTCTTTGAAAGAGCTGGAACGGTCAGGAATATCAGTTGTTTCTCGCTGCCAATATCAAGGAAGAGATGAGTTCAGGAAAGAATTGACTAGTTTCCAAACATCAATTAAAGAGAATAGAGAAAAGTGCAAAAATTTAGTCTTACTTCAGAGAGTAAGAAATAAAACTGCAAAAAGCTTTGACCGACAAAGGTGCAGCAAACGTTCTCAGTTCAACAAACTGACTTAGCCCCGTGGCTAAAGTTCAAATGAATGGTATTTACTTCTCACCCAGCCCTTTTGTGCCTTCAAGGTAGCTGCCATTACCTGGAGAGAGAGGCCCGGGCACCTGGAAACACATGATTAAGAAGGTCCAAGATTTACATCTAGGAAAGAGCTTAGGGTGTATTTACAGGCACATGAAACTGACTAGAAGCAAATCCATCAGAAGCCAACTCAGGTTTTGAGGGAATTTGTTGTTACCCTAACATTTGTATCTTTCTCTCCATCCCTAGCATTTAGCACACATGACTTGTTGCTTCTGTTTTTAATACCTTCTCTGACAATTTTTGGGATTCATATTCAATACATAGCTCCATTAGCTATTTATGCAACCGTTTTTACACAATTTGGTTCAAATGCTGATTAATAGCAGGTAAGAAATTATCACCTTTATTTTATTTTAAAAAACAGGCTTTAGAGTTTAAATGTTTTTTAAACACTTATTTTGAAAATTCACGATGAAAACAATTAAAGCCGTTCTCTTTGTGGAATAAGAACCCCGGGACCTAGTCATCATTTGTTCCTGGAGACGTAGAATTACTTTTTAAGAAAGGCCTATTTTGCTTGCAGGAAATCTGTTAGCTTCTTCTTGGCAGGACAGGATAATTCTCCAGTTAGATGAAAGCCCTAACCCAAATCGATACGCCCTAACCATCTGTTCATTTGATTTTTAGGGAATACAGATTCTGAGTGTCTATGCCAGAGAATATATCTCTGAATTCTCTATTGTCTAACTGCCATCAAAACCCCCAAATAAGTGATACTATGGATAATTATTCAAAGAACATGTAGATTATTCATTTTTTGTTTTCTAGCTACTTTTACCCTTGGATGAGGTCAGAATATCAGAAAGCTGCCTCATCGCAGCTCTTACGCCTTCATCTGCCCGTCTCCCATTCCATCCCACTCTCTACAGAAGTGTATGGGCTAAATTCCATTTTGAACTTATGCCTGACTTTCCGAAGGAGATGCCACATCACACAGCCTTGTGAAAAACACATTGGCTGCAGAAACGCTGTTGAAGACATTCTCTGCTACTTTTCTCAGGGCCCACTATGTAACAGGCAGGACAAAGGGCCTTCAGCTATCTCTGCATTTCTAAAAAATTTGAAGAAATACAGCAAAATGTCAAAATTTGTAATATTTGCATGATGGGCACATAGGTATTTGTTTTATTATTCTCTGTGCTTTTTCATATTTTTGAGCTGTTTTATATTAATAACAATATCACTTAACTTCTTACCAGCCAGAGGTATCCACTTAAAAAATTTTGTGAACATCCTCACAGACATCTCTATTAAGTAAGAGTTAAGAGCATGTGTACACTTCAAGTTGGGAGACAACTTGGTCCAACTATGCTTTTGCTACCCACGGCTTTCTAACTTTGGGTGAGCTACCTCGCACTTTCTGAGCTGTAGTTTCCTCCTGTCCTAAATGTGGATGATGATGGCACATGCTCATGAGGTTTTTGTGAGGGTTAAATGAGCAAACGTGCATAAAGCGCTTAGCACAGTGCCTGGAACACCGTCAGCATCCATACATGTGAGCCGTGTCATGTATGTGATACTGCATATGGGGGCAATGCTGTGGGCAGTTTCCTATGGCAGTAAATATAATCCATGGAATTAAAGTAAATAAAAAGAACAAGATAGTAAGAAAAGATTCAGTTTTCTAGAGAAACTGGCATTTTTTTAAAATCCTTATTCGTTGTGTACTTCTGGCCACCAAGAAGTCAAATTTATGCAATTGGGTAAGACCTTATGATCTGAATAATTATTCTCTATTTCCTCTTGTCTTGAGGCCTTTTTACGAGTTACTTTAATTCTCTATTTCATTTTATGTACTCCCCGTAAACCCCCTTAGACCCCTTGGGTGATGTGGTTGGGAAGAAAGAGAGGAAAAAAGCAGGAAACCTCTTGTCTTGAGGCCTTTTTACGAGTTACTTTAATTCTCTATTTCATTTTATGTACTCCCTGTAAACCCCCTTAGACCCCTTGGGTGATGTGGTTGGGAAGAAAGAGAGGAAAAAAGCAGGAAAGAAAAACCATGGACGGTGGGAAGGAAGGAAGGAAAGAAGAAAGGCTTAGTCACAAAGGACTTTGGAATTGTTGATTGTGATGTCTGGGTTTTGGATTCATGCTAATCGGCATGCCTTCTCATCTCTTCCAGGACCTTTTCAGGTGATCTCTGCTTGCACTAGGTTTGTTTACACTTTGACTGGCATTAAGCCTTAAGCTATTATCCCTGATGGAACTCTGAGTTTTCATAAATGATGCCATTTGAGGGCTGTCATGGGTTCTGGTGTCTGATAACTATTAGAGTCAGTTCTTCATTACCTACAAGGGGATCGGGAACTTTGTTTTTGGCAGCAAATGTCTCATTCAAGGTCAATTTCCCTCAAGTGCTGAGCACCGTTTCAGAGGGTGTGCATTGAGGGAATGCAAATTAATTTAACATTGGCATTAGCCAAACCCAGCTAGAAAGTAAACCTACTTTTAAAAAACACCATATAAACACTGATAAATATAATCTAAATTATATGACATTTGAGCATGTATAAATGTGCAAAAATTTACCTTAATTCCAGAAGCATCATTCCATACACTTGTTAAACATCTTTGAATTAGCCTTATTTTTGTTCTTTGACTATAAGCAAATTTTAATTTGAAATTGTTAAATATCTTTGCTATCATATTTTATTACAACTGGGGGATATCAGAATAGGATAAGGATATTTCATATTTCATACTGAGGATATCTCATATCACATTTCATGTTTCTGATCAATTATAAAAATGCAACACAAGCTTTTAATAGAAAATGAGAAAATTCAGAAATCTCTAGAGGAAATAAAACCCTTTATATATAATGCCTTCACATAGAAATGATCACTATTAACATTTTACCACATCTCTTTCCACACATTGTTGAGGTTGTAGATGTTCTCGAGATGGATTTGTAGATGGTCTTAAGGAAAAAATTACAGTGATTTTTTGAGTTCTAAAGGTACTCTCGGGTTACTTTCATGCTCTGCAAGGCCTGGGGGTGAGGAATTGTGGGACCTACTTCTTTATAAGGAGGAGCTGTATCTTTTCTTCTTTTACCCCATTCGATCTTTATTTTCCTTCTCCCCTCAGGGGAGGGCAGGGCATCTGGGAGACCCTGGGCTGGATGGGAGAGGCTCAGCTGAGAAAGACTGGGTGTCCCCAGACCCTGACATCTTTCCTAGCTGCACTCAAGAGCTCAAGGCATCTGGCTTTCTAAACATTTCCAGAAATCTCAGCACAGGTGCACGACATTGCAGGACAGACCAAGAGAGAGGGCAGGGCTTCCCACCACCTGCGGCTGCAGTTCCTATGGTGGAATCCATTTCTTGCTTTTGGGCGAGCTGCCCCTGCCCCTACCTCAGAGCATTGTGTGTCCAGTGTTTTTCACACCCGTCGAGTCTCCTTCCTTTCTCTGGAACTGTGTTCTGTTCTCTGGGAGCAGTTTCTCTGGCTCCCCACTCTGATCATGAGAGGTGGTCAGGGACTGTCATTGCTCATTGCTCCCCTCCCCTCCCAAAAGGGGGAGCACATGACCCAAGCCAGGCCGATCAGAGATTCTCCAGGACTTGAAAATGAGAATCAAGAAACTAGGGCCCTTTCTTCTTTTGGCAAAATTGGGAAGACATGAGCCCAGTACTCCTGTGACTGTGTCCCATGATATGTAAAAGATGGGGCTTGTAGTAACAGGTAATTAACCCAGTCCTCAGTGAGAGGCAGGAATGAGAGAGGAAAAAAGGAAGGAAGGGAAGAAGTCAGGTGGAGAGAGGGAGAGAGGAGAGAGAGAGAGAGAGAGAGAACTGACCCAGTGGTATTTTATTTCATAGTCTAATCCGAAGAGCACCAGGCCCACACGTATTTACAATCTGCCAACAATGAACCTTGGCGACCATTATCTCAACGTTG